GTACATGGCTCGATTGGGGTGGTCCTGAGGAGTGGCTTCGACTGCCATGTTGCCAACGTCCACCGCCCGGTTGAGATCGTCCATCGACCCAGTCTGCTCAAATCGGCTGCCGAACCTGTTTCCGAGGTTGCTCAGCCGGCCAGCTCGTTTGGGGTGGTCCTGAGGAGTGGCTTCGACTGCCATGTTGGCAACGTCCACCGCCTGGTTGAGATCGTCCATCGACCCAGTCCGCTCAAATCGCCGGCTAAGCATAGCACCAAAATTGCTTAACATTGCAGCGAGATCTTCAGATCCTTGCGGCGTGATATTTAGTACTTGCTCTATAACGCTAATAGCCTTATCCAAGTCTTCTATGCTGCCATATCGCTCGTAGTTCTGTAGTAACTCTTGAGAAATGTACGCGAGTTCGTACATCCTGGCTGACATCATGTCAAGTATCTGGAATCGCCGGGCGCGCTCAGGATCGTCAAGCTCTGTCACCGCTACCCATCCTTCTGTTCGCTGAATGGCTTGTTCGACGTGTTCTGTTGAGAGCGTTTTCGTGAAGAGAAGGAAGTATGCAAGAACATATAGTTCAATTTGCACATTGTTTACTGGATCTTCATAGAGCTCCGCGAAAGAACAGAGGTCTTCACTGCTCATGTCATAGAGCGTAACGATCAGTTCTGGCTCAACATGGAACAGCTCCATATTTGCGAGACCGCTTGTGGAAGGGCGATAGCCGCTGCTGGCAATGACATCAGATGAGCTTGCCATTCCACTCATTATATTAACTTCACTTGGAGTTAGAGTCTAATCGCCTACTTCGCGCGCTGCTTAGCTAGGATGAGGCTTACCGCGAACTCCTGGAGACTATTCTTTCCTTTCTGGAACCGCGCGGGCTTCGAGTATGCTATCGTAGTAGGGTATTTGTTGGTCTTGTTCGCGCCGTCATATCTGATTGTTGCTCTTCTATAGCTGTAGGTTGTAGGTTATGCTTGGCACGCTTTGTGGAAGCCCGCAACGTTTAACATTTAGGTTTGTGAAGTCAGCCTCGCCGTAGGCAGACTATCTAGAAAACCTTAGATGTTGCATTGCCAAAACGCACTTCGCCATTGGAACTATCCCCAAGGCTCCCTTCCTGTGAGCTGTGCTGAGGCGTCTTTCCAGGCTACCTTTGCTTCACCGGTCAACAGGCGCATTCCGTGCCACTGCTACACACGGAGCCTTGTGCATGAGGGTCTACCGAAGTCACTAGGCGTAGTTCCCTGACGAAAGGAAATGCGATCTCTCCTCCCTGCTGGCCTGCAGAGGACTCGTCGTTTGCATAGTAAGCGAAACGTGGCCGACTGTGAATCGCTAACCCCCCGTTCGGCCGACCGGTGAAGAACCTTGTGCATGAGGGTCTGTCCAGGTTGTGCAGTGCAGTTCCCAAGCAAGTAGAAACCCGGTCTCTGCTCCACACTGCCTTACGCAGGACTCGTCGTTTGCTTTCGCGAGCGACACGTGGCGGGTACGTGTCGTTGTCTAAACACTATTCCTTGTGCGGCCGACCAGTGAAGAAATTTTGGCTGACTTGGCAGCCCCGCTGCATCTTAGCTCCGATTGCACCCGATGACTCGTCACCGGTGACCCCTCACCAACGGCATCGTCCCAATCAATGGAGCTGAGTACTAGTAATCTTGCTCTAGTAGACTCTAGGGGTCTAGTACGTTGATAACTTACCTTTAGAAGTGGCGACCGGCTCGTGCACGCTACCACCTCGTGCACGCTACCACCTCGTGCACGGTTTCCCCGTGCATGCATCACGAACTTCAAAAACATATACATTCACTCATATTACTCAGAACCTCATAGAAATCAATGGGGAGACTAAACCGAAGACGCTCTTTCATTCTATCATAATCACAGAGTCATCGTACCTCTTAGGCGTATTCCGGATACGCTGAGGCCGGCCAGAGGCTGATTTCGCTACCCACTCCTCTACCTCATGATTCTGCTGGCCTGTAGGCTCCTCAGGAATAGTAAATACAACCTGGCGAGCCTTCTGCCTCTGGTGTATTACCTTCCTCTCATCTTTAAGCTGCTTCTCTGCATCACGTGCCTCACGTGCTTCCTGTGCCTTGCGCTTCTTGAGATCCTCAGCATCCTTCTGTTCTCTCTGCTTAGCAGCTTTAGCAGAGCGATTGAACTCAGCTATTCTTTCCTTCTCTTCCTTAGCAAGTTGCTTCTGTACCTTCTCCTCAGCCTTTAAAGCTGTATCACGAGCCTTAGCATCCTCTTTCTCTTGGTGTAGCTCTCGAGCCTGCCGCACCTTATTAGGTGAATAGACTGCCGCTTTTCCATCATTATCTTCAGCCAGAATCTGAAAGAGGTTCTTCTGCCGCTTCCTCTTCTTCTGCTCTATCTTGAATGCTTCTTAGTAGCCTCGAATTTGACTTTAAAGAAGTGTATTAGTTGCCATCAGTTGGTGAACATCTTTGGTCAAAGCTTGTACTTCTTTTTGGAGGCTGGACTGTATAGCAACTTCTACCACCTGTTTTAGGCGTGTTTCTATTCGCTTCCAGTCACCAGCCGTAAGAGCCGACCCAGTAGAGTTGCTTGATGATGGCCTTTCTTCATCTTTATCCTCTTCCTCCTCTTTCTTGGCATTGAATTGATCTAATACAACCTCCGGGTTCCATGGGTGAATACCCGTCTTTCTCCATCCACTAGCTATATTAGAAGGAGTCATAGCCTTCTTCCATGCCACCCAAAAGGTCCTGAAGAAGTCTCTCTTTATAAAGCGGGAGAATCCTTCACAATTCATTATAAACCGGTTCAATTCATTGGAATAGTGAATGGCCAAGGGGACGAAGAGAGAGACGTCTAATGGCTGCAGGCGGTGTGTTGAATGAGGCGGATATACAGCCAGGAGAATCCTGTTGCTGATGCAGTAGTTAATGAACTTCATATTCACATAAGAGCCGTGGCCATCAATAAGTAACATCCTCCACTCCTTGTTGGCTTTGGCCTTTGTCTCTCGATCAAAGATCTTCAACCAAGCAAGGCCTAGGTCGTTGTTGGTCCATCCGGTTGGTGTTGATGTGAAGAAGCAGGCATGTTCGTCCGGATCAAAATCCTTAAGCCATGTATCCTGTACATTGTTTGTTCCAGCTTAATAGATAAGTGTCGGAGGAAGTGCCGTATTGTCTGCACAGATGGCTGCCACCACAGTAATCCACTCTCTATTGCCATCTTGCATAACATGGCGCATCCTTCCTGACTCGTAGGCAAGCTTGCTGAAGATTCTCTTCTTCTTAACCAATTTTCCAATGAGAAATCCTTTCTCATCCATGTTATATGTATTTCCTAGCTGGATGTTGTATTAATCTCTTTTGCGACCAAGAAGCTCAAAGTAGAGGCTGTAGTAGAGGGCAGAATCAGCCCTTTTCCGTTCCTTATCAATAGGAAGAAGGTAGGCTGATTTGAGGCGTTTGGAATTCGAATGGACCCAGCGTGAAACCCAGTGGATTCCTGGCATTCTCCCAGCTAAATCCTGGGCGAGATTTCGTATCATTTGATGCGTAGGAGGCAAGCCTCTTTCGGAGAGGTTGTTGATGTATTTGATGAGAGCCTTAGTCTTGCCAGGAGAGAGGAGCTTTTGAGAATTGTAGGCCTCAGCCTTTGACTTCGTGATTCCTCGGTACCTCCGTGAGAGCGTGGTTCTGTCAATCCCATGCTTCTTTGCGACCTCAGTATACATCTTTTTCTCCATTAAATCTAGCTCCGCGAACGCAGCTTCCATTGCATCCATTTTCGAAGGAAATCTGTGTATTTTTGGTGGAGTTGTGCGGTGTTGAAGCTTGAGAGAAAAAGCGGTGAGGGGCCTCCGAGACCGTGCATGAGGTGGTAGCGTGCACGAGCCGGTCGCCACTTCTAGTGGCATAACTACAGTCATCCATCACATCAACTTGGAAATCAACATGGCTATCAAATCTCACAGTGCAACGACCCACTGGGCAGTCATAGTTGGCATCGATTACTATCCCGAACCCAAACATAAATGTCTCAAAGGCTGTGTTCGAGATGCGACGACCGTCAAGCTCTTCCTCGAAACAGGCGAACCCAATGCGAACATAGCTGTCCTTACCGCAACAGCTCCCACAGATCCCAGCTTCGGTCGTCCATCAGAAGAACCAGAAGTATGGCCGACATATGAGAACTTCATCTCTAGCCTTCGCAGGGTAATCGATATGGCAAAAAGCGGAGACTTTGTCTACATCCACTACTCTGGACACGGCGCGCGATTTTCCGGCCTTGCGCAATCCGAACTTGCTTTAGTCCTGCTATCGGAAGATGGTAGGGGAAGCAGATACCTTAGAGGTCAAACTCTGGCAATGGCCCTACACAAGATGGTTGAGGAGGGAATTCGTGTCACACTCGTCCTTGATTGTTGCTTTTCTGGGAGTGTGGTGCGCAACAGCGACTGGCACGGGTTTGACGTGCGATGCATCGATTACAACCCTATCTTCGATGCTGCCAGCCTCCAAGAGCATAGTGCGGGCTTATTTGACGTAGCCAGCACTTTACGCGATTCCTCGATGGAGAAAGACTGGCTTCTCAGTCCCGATGGCTATGGAATCCTCTCAGCGTGCGCTCCCCAGGAATACGCATATGAAATTGAAATAGGGAATGAGACACGAGGTGCTCTCACCTACTCTCTCCTCGATGCTCTCAGCACTTTGAGGAACAGAGGCACAGAACTTACGCACCAATCCATACATGAGCACCTTAGCACAAGGTTCCATGTCTCCTGGCCGCGGCAAACTCCAATGCGCTATGGTAATGAGAACTTTGCATTTTTTGGGAACTCTCTCCTCCCACCGGATAATGCTTTTGTTCCGATATACAAGACGGAAGATGACCAACTATGTTTAAGAGCAGGACATATACACGGTGTCTGCGAAGGTGATGAGTACGCCGTATATCCGTTCGATACCCCTGAGCACGCCCAAAATCAGGAGGAAAAGGCACTTCTGAATGTGCGAGTCAACACTGCTCGAGTCTTCGAATCGGAATTGATAGCGATCGACCCGACATCAGCCCTACAGTTCCAGATGGGCTGGAAAGCAAAGCCACTTACCAGTCTTTCTCCTCGATGTATTCCAGTAAAACTTCCGGCGAGCATCAGCGGCAACGGTCAATTAGAAGAGATAGCAAAGGGACTAAGTTTCGTGCGCCTTTTCACAGAGTACCAAACGGAGGAACCATGCATATTCAACGTAATCATCAACGAACATGACGAGTACGAAGTAGTCGACGCTTTACATGACAAAGTGCCCTGTGTTCCAAACATATCATGCAGCTCGGACGGATCAACAAAAGCTCTCGTAGAGGTCCTACAACACCTTGCAACATTCAAGTACTTTGAGGGAGTGATGAATCGGCTGTCCAGTTTAAGCTTTGAAGAGTCATTCAAACTTACTCCTAAAATTCCTGCTGGTGAATCCGGAGCATTCCACGTCATGCACGACACAAAATGGGAATTTACAGTTGAGAATAGCAGCAATAAGCCGTTATACTTGGCCATATTTGACTTCGCCCCCTCTTGGCGAATCAAAAACCTCGTTTCTGGATCAGGTGGAGGTGGTTATAAAATTATACCACCAAGGAATGAAGGAATGGACAGTAGGCGGGTAATAATAGGGTTGCGGATGAAGGTCCCTGAGTTCCTTCAGAATTGCGGCAAAGGTCGGTGTGAAGACATCATCAAAGTCTTTATCACAAGCAAGCCAACTTTTTTTCCTCTGATGGTCTTACCCGAGATTTCTCGCACTGCTGACAGTGTATTTCGAGACATTCATAGCGGCGATGGTCTGTCTGCTTTTCTCTCAACGTTGACCACTGGTTTCCGAGGGCAGGATGAGGATGCATGGGCAACTCAGAACTTCATAATACGCACTGTGTTGGAGTAAACCATGTAAATCAGAGACCATTTGATTTCATTACGTTATACTTCAAACAAGACCAATGCAACATTTTCCCTGACATCTCAGCCCTTACAACAAAATGTTGCTCGCTCATCAGAAAAAGTCTTCCGGCTCCAGTTCCAGCTCCGATTCTTCGAGGACTTTTCCGTTCTTTACTGGTGTCTTATTCGCGTCGCAGAGAATGTATTTCCCATTGTTGACAGACGATACTAGAAATGGACCTTCTCGTGAAGGAGTAATGATGTAAACTCGGTCGTTTGGTCGGAACTTGGGTTGCTGGCGGTGGTTTATACGGATTAACGAAATAGTCTGGTGATTTAAACTTACGTTGCTGTATTCCTCTACATCAAAACGGCCACCGTCATCGCGGAAAACTATTTCCTGGCTGTGCGTACTTCTAAGAAAACGTTACTATAATAAAGCTATAGACTAAATCGCCTTACTTATCGATCGATCCCATCTTAACTATTCGCTGGAAATCCAGGGCTGATGAGAAAGAAGTGCCAACTGGTGCGGGCAGGATCTTTATGGTGTTATTTGGTTTATAGCCTTGCATTATAAGTCAGCCTTGCTGCAGCTCAAATATTGGTGCCAGTCTGCCTGGCTGACAAGGCTGTTCCGCCGTCCGCCCTATGCTCAACAGAGCCCCAGAGCGGGGTCGCAGCCTTATATCATCTGCTCTGCCACTTTGCCTTTCGCCTTCCAAAAACGCCATTTGCGATGGTTTGTCCGCCTCCAACAGACATCGAACTCGGCCACGGCACCGATCCATTTCACACCACCCCTGTAAATAATGGCGGCGTAGGCAGGACCTATCTGGAATGCATACAGAATTTTCTCTCATTCCGCGTGGCGAGGTTCTCCAAAAAGGCTGACAAAAGAAACGATCATTCAAGACGCCTGATGCAGAGTAACCTACACTCCTATGCCTAACATAACACACAATAACACTACTGACTCGTTCTAGTCGAAGACCACCCGGCTGGTTATCCTCGTTTCTCGGCGCTTGTTGCGTCTCATGACTCCTTTCACCTTTGCCGCCGGTTCTCTAACCTGCGTTCCCGCCTGCTTCTGTTAAAACAAGATAGGATATCATCCTTGGAGAAGCAATTGCAGAAAGTCGACCACGAAGAAACTGTTCCTTTACGTCTTGGAAGTACTCGAGCGGATGATAACAGTGAAAGAAAGTTCATTCTATCGCAAATTGACGATGCTTTAGCGGATTACGGTATGCAAGCCCTGCCTGTTTGACGTTGAAGGCCCTAAGAAGAGTTATAGATGGATTAATCGTAAGGAATCACCAAATCTTCAGCTTCGAAGCTGCGAGGCCCCGAGCGGTGGCGAGCTTACAAAACTGGATCAACGGGACGGGCTGCATAGCGAGACACGAAGCCACATATCTGAATTATTCAAATGAGTTGCTTTGTGTAGCTTCTATGGATGATACGGTCATGATGTGGCTAGAAACATTGGTAGAGTGCACCTTCACCCGTGCTCGTCAATATTTTGGGAAAGTAAGAAATCTGCACAAAAGAAAAATGGATACAAACTGAATCCGTTATAGAATCGTCATCTCAATATCTCAAGAGACCCGAACGTCCATATAACGTCGAAACCATCTGTCACACGGATAGCTCGAGTTTTGATGACACCTTTCATCGCCACACTCTTGCTTGCCCCGGTCATTGTTTGTAATTGTTTAACCAGTCTCATCGCCCGACTTTCTACAATTGTTATCGCTGCTACTATGTTTATTGCAATACTCTCTGGCTCGACTAAGGCAAAAACGGTCGAATTGGTAGTGGCAGGTGCGACGTAAGTGCATGAATTCTGCATAGGCACAAGCCATTAGCTAATATCGTCCTTCTTACAGTTATACAACAGTGCTGATTGTGTTCATCTCGAGCACAAGTATGCCCAAGAACTAATATTAGCAGGAGTTTCCTTTAGATTCGCGAGTTCCGCATCAAAATGGGGTTTGATTCTAGTAGTAACGGGTAGTATAATTTAGTGTGCATTCTCCTGCGTTATGTTCGGGTTGAGTGCTCATTCCTTTTTGTAGCTGAATGTTGTCTGAGGCCCTAGCTAGCTTCCTGCCCCTGGTATAGACATTGTCCGCGAGGGCTGATTCCTGAATAAATGACAGATTAATCGAATAATACTCGCGATGGCGTGCAAAGCGTCACTGGCTATTACCTTGAGCTCTCCTCCACCATGTCCAGTTGTAAAGATAGGCGACTTGCACACGTTGATAATGCGCGAGCTTATTATTGAACACCGTGTTCAAATCATCACCGGTTGGCAGACATCTTGTGGGATCTCTCACTAGTCCTTCAGTGTCCCATATGCCGAGGAATGACTTGGAGTCGGAGATGACACGAATGGTCCAGCCAGCCAAGCGCTATGCAGTGTATCCTAAAACTGGCGCACTGACTTAAGGCGCCCAAGTGGTACTCAGCCCCTCTCCGGCTGTTTCACAGATTCGCTTCTCGAATGCCCGCGCTACGCGCGGGCCTACTAGCTCAACACAAATACTAGCTCAACGCCAAAATAAATACAATTATCTACTTTTGAAGCCTATAGCCTCACAACAAGAGGTCTTTTTTGAATAATAACACGTGCAAACGATGGCCGAATACCTCCTTATCGCGCACCGAATCACTGAGGCAGTACAGGTGCTGCGCACACGTGAAAAACCGCATGTTCTGGCATACGCTCGCGATCACGATTTGCCCTACGATAGGCTTCTACACGCCTACAATGGCGGCAACAACAGGTCCACGCGGCCTCCAACGAATCAAGTACTCAATGAAGCTCAATTGATTGCCCTCGAATTGTACTTGGACCATATAGATCGAATTGGGTTCGGTATTCGTCATCGGCAGGTCACTGATGCGGCCAATGCGATCCTAGCGCAAGGATGGACAATTGAATATAAAGAGCCACCAAAAGTAGGCATTAATTGGGGCAGGAAGTGGCTCAAGAGGCATCCAAAATACACCAAAATCACGCAGAAACCAATGGACGTACAGCGCAAGCTTGCCCAGCAGCCTGCCTCTATTGCGCGCTGGTTCGCGGATCATTATAGCTACCGTCTCGAGTGGGGTATATTGGACGACGACGTGTGGAATTTTGACGAGAGTGGCATGCGAATAGGCGTGGCCAAGAACCAATACGTATATACACAGAACGGACGAGAGGTTTTCATGCCGCATGGAAATAATAGGGAACTTATCACGCTTGTAGAGGCTATAAGCGGTGGAGGCGATCACATCCCGCCAATGGTCATTATTGCAGCAAAGACTATACTCGAAAAATGGAGCGATCAATTGCCGGCTGGCTACCTCATTCACACGACAGAGAGTGGCTACTCTACGGATGTTACCTGCCTAGATTACATTAAGCACTTCCATAAGATGACAAAGAATAGAGTTAAAGGCACGTGGAGGCTACTTCTAATGGATGGCTACGACTCTCACCACACATACGAGTTTCTATCGTACGCAGAGAGTAAGAAAATTAAGGTATATGCGCTTCCTCCGCATACGTCGCATTTCCTACAGCCGCTTAATGTAGGCTGTTTTCAACCGTTAAAATGGCACCATGGCCAGGCGCTTAATGAATCGGCTCGGTATGGCGGCCACGAATTCAACAAGACGGATTTCTTAGCAGCGCTGCCCTATATTAGGCAGCTCACGTTCACACGAAGCACCATTGGCGCGGGCTTCGGTCGCACGAGTATTGTACCGTTCAATCCTGAGAAGGTCCTTTCACAGCTACGCTTCTTGGAGGATGTCAACGTGGATGTCAACGTCAATCAAATTGAGCACGAGCGACCTCTCGATCCGAACCTAATTGGCCCAATTGGAGCTCACAGGCCTCAGCCTACGGAGGAGGAGCTACGCTTTATTCAGCATCCTGATGCGGATATTGCTGATTTTAATAGGGGTAGTATCTAGATCCAACCTATATGTTGTATAGGTCGCTCAATCCAACCACCTGTTTCTTAATCCAACCCGGTTGGTGCGTCAACGCCATGGCGGCTTTAAACCTTGCTAGGCTCAACACCGGCTTTCTTGGTGTTGAGTCGCGTCCATACAGCGCGAGCGGCTGAGGCCCCTTTGCAGCTACGCGTTAGCCAGCCACTTGGCCGCGTCAAAACAATAACAACGCGTCTGTGGTGTTGAGGACAGGTGCGCAGGTAAAAGCAGTGGCGAACCCCACCACTTTCACCAAACTCCACCGCTTTTACCTACGCACCTGTCTGCGCAGGCAGGCTGCATGAATTGGAAAGGATGTATCTACATCCTATCCGGTAGCTATTACTGTAGGTGCTCCGGTCACCTTATAATTTTAGAAAGGATAAAAGAATAGTTTAGTTAAATAGGCTTCTAATTCTAGTTAACTATTTTAGGATATAAATTATTGCTGGAAAGAAATGTCCTCTATTGCAATATATTAGTTGGAAACATTATACTTAAAAAGGAAGAAGACGGCGGTTTCCTAATTAACCTTAATTTTACTATTAAAATTAACCGTAAAAAGGCATCGGGCGCGCTAAGCAAGACCGGCATAAGTGGATTATACTAACTTAGATTCTTTAGGTCTAGTAGCTAGCGTAGGAAGGGCAAAAGATTAGTAAAGAAAGTATAAGTTATATTAAGGTGCTAATAAATAGCTATATAATAAAGAGATAATAGGGGTTATAGGTAGTAATAGTAGTATATAATAGGTAAGCTAAGTCTTTAGTTATATATTATAAGCTAAAAAAAGTAAATAGAAATATATTACTAGCTACTAAAGTTTCCTTTTACTAATATTTTCTACTATTATTTCTATACTAAAACTAGGTAAAAAAGACTTTTATATAAATACCTTTTAAAGTATTTTAAAAAAAAGAATACTAGCTTTCTAAAATTAGATCTTCTATAAGTACGTACTATATTCCGAAGACTTAGGCTCTAGAAGATTTAAACTTTTAGGCTTTACTTTATCTGCAATCTTTATTAGTTTAACTATAACTAACGTACTCTATAAGTAAGCGGGCCACCTAAGTAAGCGGGCTACCCTATTACTAAAACGCGATGCAAAATATAAATTACTCTACAACGCTAATAGATATTAACTTAATATAACTTGCAGTTTAATCTATAATAATTTCCTTATCTTTTTAACACGTATAAGCGTTGTGTCCTGTCTCGCCGCAGCGCCTATAGCGCGCTTGCTGCCGTGTACTTCCACCCGGGCGCCTCCTATTTTAACGCATTTCGCCCTTAATTTGTTTATTAGCTTCCTTTTAAGCAATTATTTTAGAGCCCTATACCTTTATTAGGACTTTTTACCTCTAAATTCGCTTTTTTTTGCGCTCTCTATACTTTATAGCGGCCTTATTTACCTTTTAAAGGCTTATAACCTAATTACGCAATAATATAGCCCTATATATCTATACTTCGGCGCCTCTAATAAGTAAATTAAGCGACTTAAAAATTGCAGTAGAAGAGCTATTTTAATATATTTAAATGCAATTATAAATTAATGCTAATTAAAAGCCTAGCTTAAAAGTATTGCTTAGTATTTTTAATTCCTATTAAGCCTTTATAGTAGCAGGCAATAGTATATAAAATATAATATTAAGCTTTAAAAGCACTGCCTTTAGATTAAGCGGTATAAGGCTAGCGCTTTAAAAGCTTGCGCAGATATTACTTTTTATAAATAAGTTATTAAATACTGCTTTAAAAGCTAGTAGGAACTTAAGCTTTATAATATAGTTAATATAGTTACGCATTAGATCCTTAATTTAGCGACCGTACGCTTTTTTTAATAGCGCAAAACAGCCTATATTAAGCGGCTATAATAGATATAAAGTGTGCGGCGGTATATATAGTATAATAATATTATTCTCCTTATAAAGCTTTTTAAATTTAAGTAAGTTATAGCTTTTATAGCTATCTAAAATAAGCAGGTAATATATACCTATAGTACGGTCCTTTATATATATATTAAAATATTGCAGCTATATAACACTAAGCTTATTTATTATCTAGCTGTTGTTGCTTACTGCTATAGCCTAGTCTAGTAGTATATCGCTGCCCTTATACTATATAGAGAGGTAGTACTTACCCGTAAGAATAATAAACGGCGGGATTGCCCACCTATAAGTATTAATAGCCTTAATTATAGTAGCCTACTCGCAATCGCCTAGTTATATAGCTTTTAGTTAATTCTATCTTTTAGAGCCTGTAATAACTACTCCTATTAAAATAATAGCTATCTAAAAGCCGGTTTTATTAAAGTTATAGAAGTTATTATCTATAATACTATACTTTGCCTTTATATTACGTATAAGCTTAAACTACAGCATAATAATCCTTAGATTTTTATATAGAGCTTTCTAGCGGTTATACTTTTAATTAAACCGTGTTTAAAGCTTATTAGTCTGCTTAACAAAGTTATATAGCCAATTCTTGCTAACCTAGCCGGCACCGCGCTTATCTAGCAGCTTATTAGCTATATTTTATACAGCGCTTAACCGCGGTGCAAATCCTTTTAAATCCAGGTTAATTATATATTAAATAATAACTAATTCCTCTAGCTTTGTAAGCTTCTTTAAATTAGGCTCGCAATCGCGTTAGGAGGTTGTTCCGGCGCGTTGTTGTTAAAGCGTGCTTCTACGGACTTTAAAGGTTATTACAGCTTATCGCTCGCTTTAAATTTAGTTTTTATTAATTGCTAAAATAGCTAGGTATATTAGGCCTTCGCTTTAGACTAGTTGCGCGTTGTATTATTAAGGTATAATAGTTAAAAGTTAATAGAGCGCGTTTTAGTAATAGGGTGGCCCGCTTACTTAGGTAGCCCGCTTGCTTATAAAGTACGTTATATAATTATACTTAGAGTTTTATAGTAGAATACTTATAAGGTCCTCTAAAAAGGCTTCTAAATGCTAATAGTAGTAATCTAGAATAGTTTATTTTGCTTATATTGCGGCAACTATTGCCGATATATATATATTAGGTAGCTATTACAGGTTTAGGTATAGTTTATATGCGCAGATTATAAGAACTTATACTGTATTAATATACTATTAGCATAGAAAAGGGGGGTATGGTTCCGGGTTCCTATTACTACTATTTTAGG